GTCCAAAGATGCTTCGGCAAATCTCGACTGCATTTCAGGATTTCTGAGTATATCTTTGTCGATCGCTGCCTTGCGCGACAGCGTAGTCGCGGAGCCTGAATGAATGACGTCGCACGTCACAAAATAGTGATCTGTGGCAAGATCTGCATGGCGATGCGTTTTGACATGCCGCATTCGATCCAAAGCGACAGCATCACATACGACATCATCCAGAATAGTGCGCTTCTCTTCAATGATGTTTCCCACTGGTTCCGCCCCAGCTTCCCTGCGCGCAGTGGCCTGCTCCAGCGGCCTGTCAAAATAAGCATTTGCAAGTGGCAGGTCGAAGCCGAAACAAAATTCAAATAGCAAGTCTCTGTTCGGAACTTCGGCTTGGCGTAGCACCCGCCTACCCCACGTGAACGGCCCGATAGCAATTCCCCCCCCCCCCAGCGCGTGCGCGCTCGATGCGTGCGCCCGCGCCCCCCATGATGACCTTCCCGCCTGTCGCCGAACGCGCCCGGAATTCAGCGTGAAGAACTCTCCAGAACGAGCGCCTTTCTGGGAGAGGATTCAGGTTGTGGGGGGCGCGCGCGGAAAAGAGCCCGAACACGCGAAATCCCAACTTCAATTTTAGTTGGCAAATTCTGTCGGAAATTTGTTTATGTGATCGTTTATACGGCACGTGGCTCGAAGATATGATCAACCCAACTCCCGCCCAAGATGGTGCATGCGCATCTGCGCCTGAGAGGATCACACAATATCCACTGTTCTCGTCTTCGTAGTCCTCTGCTTTTGTCGCCCGTGTTTCCTGGGCATAAAATGTGTATCCCATATTCTTCCACGTAGCGTGTAATTTTCATCATGTTCTGTTCGGTCAAGCCGCAAACGTTCCAAGTGGCACAGCGTAGACCAAGATGGCCTTCGCAACGACGTCCCAACGAAGGTCCAGAAGGGTAGCTGGCATCTTTGCCCCCTGTGCTCGTACTGGAATAAAACGATGTTGCTGCGTTCCCGGGGTCAGCGGTTCCGGAAGGTGAAGCAGCCCTGCGCTCCCTTCGCCGTCAATGAGTTGGTTTGCCTTTGCCCACCACTTTGGACGAGCCAGCCGCGCTCCTTTCCAATCTCTCCGTAGCCTTACTTCTCAGCTCTTGGAAGGCAGGATCGTTGTGTAGTTCGTCCCAGGTATCCCACGCTGTATCCAGCCATTTTCACCACTGATGCGTTCAATATGGGCTTCCCTCCAGCTTTCAATAATCCTGCGCCCCCGTCGACCTTCAGGAATTTCTTCTCGAAGCCCCACTGCGTCAGGAGATAACGGAGGCCCAGCAAGAGCGATGTATCAGCTCTTTGTTCGATGGGGGCGTCTGCGTTGCACCAGACGCGGCGGCTCCCTTCCTTTGGCGTCTGTGTGCCGCATGCTGCTTGGAGGATCGGGAGAGTTATTTCGGATGATTGTTGAGATTTGAACTCTGAAGAAATCATGCCTTTGAACTGTTCTGCAGTAGGTCCCTTCTTGTAACACTTCAGGGGTGATTCACAACTTGATTCCGAAAGTACTTCTGCAACCCAACGTTCGGCTTCAGAGAGGGTGTCATGCGGTAGGCCCCCAATCACGAGAAACGTCGTAGTAGATTGTCCAGTTGTTGTGGATGCTCCGGTCGACCGCAGAATAGCAACTTCACGTTCCAATTCCTGCAGTTTTGCACCAAACGTTGAAGTCATGCTAGGTGCTGTCCCGGATGCCACTGATGAAGGTCTGAAATGTGGGATCTTTCGTTTCCAATGCCGCCACGCGCCCTCTGAGGTCGTCGACGGCAGCCTGGAGAGGTTCGATTTTCCCGTTCAGGTCGTCCTGGGAGACACCATGCTTTTTATGGCTGCGATGTCCTGCTTGATAGGTGCCAGTTGGTTGGCCAATATCAGCTGCAGACTCTCCGCCGTTAGACGTTGACCTGCTGCTTCGGCGAGCCGGCGTTGAAATTGTACTTGCTCTGATTTGGCCTGGAAGTGACTCTGGCGTGCGGCTGCAGACCCACTGTCGGCCTCGTCGGAGAGGCCGTCCATCTCGTGCAACGGGCTGTGGATCCGGTGTTGCTTTGGTCGCCCCGATGGCTGCAACACGTCCTTGACCGGGGTGCCAGCCCTGCGGGTCTGCCTTGACGTAGTTGGGGACGTCGTACCTTGTTCCATTGTTTCTGTCTGCGCGGTCGACAAGAGAGAAATATGATATTGATGCAAGATGTGTAGTCAGAGGGTCGTGGGAAGGCAAGAGGGCAAATACAAGAGGAGTAAGAGTATGAAGTATGTCAGGGCCGCTCACGCCCTTTCGCTTGAGTATACTTGAGCCACGGGGCCTTGAGCCAAGATTCTCCTTGAGCCAAAAAAACATTCTTGAAGACCATGAGACACTCCGCCGGCCAAAGCACCCCAAACCCTAAGATCATTCGAGGGTACCCTCCCCCAAGATGCACGAGCACATACAACAAACACGAAGAACAGTAGGGTACCCTCCCCGAACCGACCTACCTTATACCTCGGTCCGACTGTAACAGGCGCCGTGCATTTACACATCGACTTCGTTGCAATGAGCTGGAGGCTCCTGCCGCCGCCTGAAAGCAACCATGGCTCGGATGGCTGTTACCGAGGCTGCGGGTAGTCCCGCGCCTGGGTCGCTGGCCAACGAACTTTTGCGACAGCGCCCGCGTCTGTGGCTTCAGGCCGCAACAACGGATGAGCCCCGAGGAGGCGACTGGGATGCAGTCCACACACAAGGGGCTACACGAGATCCCACCGTGGTGCGACGGATGAGCTTTCGGACTTCTTCTGCGAAGGCGTGCTGAACCAGCGGAAGCGAGCATCAATGCCGCTCCAGCCGATGAGGCTTTTGAGGCCGCGGCCTGGGCAGCGGAAGGCACATCGCGCCCAGGGCTCAGGCTATAGTGAGCTCTGAGAGCAAGCAATGATCGGCGACTGTCGCGGGCCGAGCCCACAGGAGGGTCGGTAAACCACATAGCCTGAAAATAAGGATGGCAAGACTGATGTAAGTATGTGCGTAGCTCTGTGAAGCAGCGACCGGGCATGAATTATCCCACATCGTCGGATTGCGCACCCGGCAGCATTCGCGGTGCAATCTATCATATTCGTGACTGTTTCGCTCAAACACCCGAGCGAAGGAACTCCCTCAACCTTTTCTCCTATCTGCGCTCACGCCGGCGACATTCGCACTCGCGCGCACTGCGCCCGCAATTGCCTACCTCCCCTGGCCCCCGAACCCTCGCATTGCTCCTGAGCCCTCGTTTCTAATCTGGCCTGGGCCCGCGAATTACACTTGGACTGCGCTGAGGGGCGTTCCTCTTGCGTCCTCCAATCTGCCGAGCAGCAGGTCCACGCATTTGATTGGGAGTGCCGAATGTCACCCGCATCCAAGTATTGCATAAGGCTGGCGGTTTTCCTGCCCCCTCCAATCCAGGTCATAAACGCGACAAGCTCAAACATTGCATAGGGGTTGTACCCTGGGGCGCGGACTAGACGGACGCCAAATCTAACCCTGAACAGTATATTGCAAGAGGGTTTCGCTCTGGGGCCAATGACTCACTTCAGAATCAATGTCCGACCCTCATCGTGATCGGGCAATCGTTTTGAATCAGGCATAGATGCTTCTCTCCCGTGATCTGCGCCCGCACCTCGCCCAACTGCCCCCTGCCTTCTGCTCTCGATTTCCTGCTACTTCCCTGTGTGTTGTCATTGCGCTTTCTGGGCGATGCCAACGGTGCATCTGTTGCCACTTTCGTGAGCTTCTGGGATGTCCAGCGGAAGCGGCCTTACGCAGTCCCAGCTGGCTGGACCACGCCTCCCCAGGAGCTGCCACATGCGCACCTGTTGCCCATTGCGTGAGTTCCTGGGAAGTCCCGCGGTGCGTCCCCTTACTCAGGGTCATGTGAGACCTCGCATCACTGAGCGCTACCAACAGCGCAACTGTCGCGAGCTCCTGTGAGGACCGCTGACTGCGGCCTTACGCAGACCCACGTGAGACATCGCCTCCCAAAGGCGCTACCAACTGCACAACTGTCGCCACATATGTGCGATCCACGAAGGTGGGACGGAATGCGGCCATGCGCAGACCCAGCTGCGAACTCGCTTCCATGGGTGCTGCCAACTGCGCATCCGTCGCCACGATCGTGAACTACTGGAAGGTCACCAGATGCCGGCCTTGAGCAGACCCGAATGAAACCTCTCATCCCTGGGCGCTGCCAGCTGCGCATCGGTCGCCATTGTCGTTAGCTCCTCGGGGGTACACAGGAGTGTGGCCTTACGCAATCCCAAATGTTACCTCGGCTCCCTGATCACTGCCGAATTCAATTATCGCTACAATACAGTGCCGCTGTGGAGACCGGCTGAATGGTGACACGATAGGCCTGAGTGAGACCTCGCCCTCCCCGATTTCTATCAGCCGCGCAACTGCTGTCGCTTTCGTAAAACCCATGGGCATTTCAATGGGATGGCGCCCCAAGTCGACTCACCGAATGGTCTTGTCATCTGCCTCGTATGGGTTGGGTAGTCCCTGGATACCCCTTCAGCGATTTAGTGTTCAACTCGTAGATGTGCCCAAACCAGATCTAGGCATTGCGATGGGATTCTGCTACGGGGTGTCCTCTGAACGGCGCTGAAGCCTGACCCACCGTCGCTGAAACAACTCCCAAATGCGACGAAATCTGCCCCAGCAGCATTTATTAGCCCATGACCACTCGTCCCGCAATGCGGCTGTGGCGCCAGGGCCAAGTGGGCGAACCGCGAGCTAAACCTTGCTTTTGCGGAAGGTATGGGGGGGCATGGCGCACGGCCTGTGGTTCAATGGGCGTGGATGCTCAGGCACAACATCGAGGAGGGGGGGGGCGAGGACGAGGAAGAAGTCGCGGAGGAGGGGCATGGACAATGGGGGTGCCCGAAGACGGCGGGATTGGCTATTTCATCGGGCGGTGTGAACGTAAGGCTTGCACCGGAATCGAAGCAGCGGCGTCCTCCACTGCCCCCGTACAGTGACGCCAAAACCATGGTTGGCAGTCGTAGGAGTGCAGCACCTGGGGTCGAGACGAACCCCGTCCCTTCAAAAGGCGCCCTCTGACATGACCTGTCTTTCCTCCGAACAGTAGTGCAGCTAAGAAAATATACGCGCATCCCCCTCTTTCTCCTCACCCTTTCCCTTCGAAAGACTACGACAACGGAAAATCCAATCAGAGGAACTTTTATGCGCAATGATTTAATGCGGTGAACACGGGTCTAACACGGGCACGGAAACTGGCAAGTGTCCGCGCCCGGGCCGAAACGGCAGCGGAAAAAGGATAACGTTCAGGGGGGCAAAGATGCAATAAAAGGCAATCGGCGACCGTTCGGGTCTGGTGTTCAAGCGAGTCTGCCTGTGCCCCGTCGGTCGTAGCACGCTGACCGTGTGGCAACCTGTCGATGATGTGTTTTTCACCGCATGCGGTTCTGACTTGCTGCAGGCAGGTTTAAAGAGGCTAAGCCCTCCCTCCTCCCTTGCGTCGGGAGCGCTTGTAATAGAAGACGGCGTTGGGAAGGGAGGCGGGCGAAAATGGCAGCAGTGAAATTCAACACTGCTACATTTCGGTTTTCCCACCCTCGCCCTTCCAGTGCTCCGCCCGCCCACGCAGCGGGCGGGCGCGCGCCGAGAAAAAGCACGGGCCTCCTTTGGAGGCAGAAGTGATCTGTAGATGAAATCACTGTGGGATCTCCGCCCCCCCCCCAAAAAAAAGCCCCCCACCAGAGGTGCCAAAGTAAAAGGAACCGACCTCCTCCGGAGGCGGCGGCGAGACGCGGATGGGCGTGTCGCGGGATCTTTGCCCCGAGGGTCCTCCGCAGGGGGGCGACGAGGGCTGGGGCTCAGCCGTCTGCGGCGTCTGCGCCCCGCGCTGCCCTCCTCTGGAGGATAGCAGCATTCGGTGGAGACTCCGCTCCACGATGCCCTCCACAGGAGGATTGGGTTAATAGAAGGCGACATGCGCGACGTCGAGCTCGCCGCTCACGTCTAGTCGGGGGGGCGCCACCCCCCCCCGCACGCCGCTGGCCGCCGCCGCCGGCGGCGCCGCTCGCCCCGGGGCCCGCCTCAGCGTCCGTCCTTCGGGGGGCCATCGGCAAGGAAGCGAGGGCACTGATTGCCCCAGTGTCCTTCCTGGAAGCACAGGCGGCACGCGCTGCGCCCTGGCAGCTCAGAGGGGATGCCCCCCGGGGCATGCTGGCCCGCTGCGGACGCGGAAGCGCCTCCTCTGCGCGGCTTCTCGGGTCTCTCGCTGACCGCTCCATCTCGCTTGCCCTTGCCCTGGGGCCCCTTGCCATTGGCGCCCCGCTTGCTCTTCGTGTTCGGGCCTGCGGCGGTGTAGCTCTCGCCCGAGCCCCCCCCGCCTGCGCCGGCCGTGTCGGAAGCCAGCCCGTGGCGGGTTGGCACCTCGTGCCGCGCTGGGGCAGCTTCTTCTTCTTCTTCTTCCTCCGCATCGTCACTGCGATCCTCTGACGTGGCCGACGCTCCTCCGCTGCTCGACCGGGCCCGGTAGCGATGCGCGATTGCCTCCAGTGCTCGCGCCCTCGCCCTCTCCTGGCGGGCCTGCCCCTTGCGCGGCTGCTCCGCGCGGTCGGAGCGGCCGGCGGCCTGCCGGCCGAGGGCCAGCATCCAGTAGGCGGCAGCTGCAGGAGACTCCTCCTGCAGGGCGACCACGAAAGTTTACCTCGAGAACTGTTTGCCGTCGCGGACCTTCGTCGTTCCGGCGCTCGGCCGAGCCCCTTAGGCTGCGCGGCGACGGACTGGCCAACTGACCCGGGCGCGCCACCCGGTAGAAGCTCCCGAGCCAGAGCAACCACTGGCTGTCGCTCAACTCCTGCGTCTCCTTGCGGTCGAACGTGAGCCACTGGTCGTCTACTTCCAGGACCTGCTCCTCGCCCGCCACATCTCCCCCCGCCGAGCCATCGCCGCCGCGCTCTCGGTGCGCCCAGCGCGCAGGCCCAGCCCCCGGACCGAACTGGAGATCGCGCCCCGAGCTCCTGCCCCCCCTGCGATCTTTCTGTCCTTTGCGCCCCCCGCGGGCTGGAGCCGCGCCGCGCGGCGCCTGCTTCGCCTTAGGCGACAGGGCCGGCCCCTCCTCGACCACGCCGCACTCCGCGCGGGGTGGCGTCCGACTGCGGCCCCGCCGCTCGCCGTCGCCGCCCGACGGGGGCGCCGTCTTCGCGCCGCCATGGCCGGCCGCGGCGCAGCGGCGGTTGGCGGGGGCACGCGCGCGCAGGCGCTCGCTCGGGCCACGGCGGCTGCGCGGCGCGGCAAGTCACAAGAGCGAGAGAGGGCGAGGCGGGGCAGAGGACTTCGTGGTTCCCCGTCGCCTGCCGCCTTGCCTCGCTCGATGGCCTGAGCGCTCATCTCGCGCACTCGCGTTCGGGTCGCCCCCATATAAACTCCCAGACCTTGTCACTAAGGCCACCTTTTGTTACCCCGTCTGATATCGTCCACCAGCTAAGTAATCACCTCCCCCCCCCCTGTGTTTTCATCTCTCTGTGGGGCGCGTGACGCGCGTATTTTCAGGGCGCCGAGCCACGCCGCGTCGCGCCGGTCGTCGGGGACGTTACCCTCGATCTTCACATGGTCGTACAAGCTCCAACAATTGGTAAACAGCGTGAGCGGCATCTGTGCCTCGCCGTACTCCACCGCCGACTGGATACTCCATCCGTGCAGGGCTTCGCACAGGAGCGCCCGCATGTTGCGGGCCATTCCATAACCCGCCAGGCGCGCCGCCGTCTCGACGGAGAACGTCGACGCAACCACACGGTGGCTCGCCCGTCTGCGCCAATCCAAGATGGATATCCGCTGCTCATCCTGTTCCAAACAGTCCAGGTCAACTGCTGCGACTACGGGCGACCGGACCTTGTGACGATCGAACCTCTGGAGGTCCTCGTCCGTCTCCAGCCGCTGGCTGACGCTGCCGTAGAAAGAAGAGACATCCACTCCCCTGCGGCTCTTGATCGGCACAATCCTCAGGCAGACGTCGTGACTCCGCATGGGTCGGTTCTTTCTGGAACTTCTGAAATTGGTTCGTCTCGAAGGCCTTGCCCAGCCAGCGCTGTCCGGCTAGCCAGTGCAGGGGGCCCACCGCCGACTGAAACTCTGCCCTACCGATCGGGGGAAGCGGCGTCCCCCCCTTTTCCGCCCGCCCACAGTTGACCTCGCTCAGGCGTCCGTCGATGACCTCTGGCATGCTGACTTCGACGCGATCTCTGGCCACTCGGGCGCGACGCCCATATGTAGAGGTCGCCGTTGGATCCGTCCAGGACCCAAACGGGAACCTCTCCTTAAGCATGTCCTCCATACTGCGCGTCATCGCGCTGCCACCGTGTGCAACCATACAACCATCAACATGAGCGATCAGCATGCCCGTGAGACGGTCGCCCGCGCGAAAAACGCCACGTCCAGCTGCAACTGCCCCCAGCCCATCTCTTCGACAAGCGCCTTGCGGAAGGTGTTGAGCCATGCTCGTGGAGCGTCGGGCAGCCCGAGCATCCCCTCTTCGATCATGAGCAATTGGCCTGGCTCCAGCCCGGAAAGACCACCCCGTGGCTGTCGCATGCACAGCGCCTCCTGACCGCGGCGTGGCCCCCCGTGTAAAAAGGCGCCCGAGATGTCGCCGTTCGCAAGCTGGGGAAGCCAGCCGAGGTTCGCGGACACCTGCAGGAAAGCGTGGAAGCCAGATCGTTGCACGGCGGGAGCATCGGTCTTCACCGTTCCCAGCTTCGCGTCGGGATCGCGCTGGCCCTGCGCACGCAGCCGCGCCTTTGCCGTCGCGGGCATCGGCGCCCCCGTGCCGCGCAGAGCAGCGCTCTTGTCTTTTAGCTTCATGTTGCTGCCGCTTCTTGCGACTCAGCTGGCTCCAGCACTGTCGCGCGCTTGTGGCGCAGCCACGAATCCCATTCCTTCTCGATGGCGGCGCGAAAGTCTTTGTGGTGAGCTGGCGCGATTTCTTCCCACCCCAGCTCGCGGTCCTGCGTCTCGCGGTCGAGCATGGCGGACCCCGCCCCCCTGTTGCACGCCGTCATCTCTTCGTGCGCGGCCCGAGGGCCGGATTGATCGGACCCGTCTATTCGCCGCGCCGTTGCAGGCATCTCTGCCGTGGCAAGTATCGCGTCGCGCCCCCGCTTCTTGGCTTCCTCGAACAGCGCGAGCATTCTACCCGCGGGGGGCAGGGTCACTTCCCTGGGATCCAACATCTGAGCCCACCGAACCCGATGCCTGGTGCAGCGCCATGACCCTCCGTGCTTTTCGTAAGTGGTACGCGGCGGCCATTGCGCCGCGGGGCGCCGCCCCCCTGGCGTCGCCTGGGCCCGCGCATCATACAGGCCCCAGACAGGCTGCCCCTGTTCGGTCAGTGCCCAGCCCGGGGCATTCGCGAACCGCGCCAGCTCTGATGGGAGGCCCGAGGGCAAGCCGCCTACTCCTTAGGCAGCCTCGGGATTCGCGACGGCATCATCCGCGACCTCGGTGTCCTCGATCTCTTCTGCCTCTGGGTCGCCCTCCCTCGGCGAAGACGGGGGCCCGTCGTCGGATTCCTCCCCCGGCGCCAGGCCTCCGGCCGCCTCGAGATCCCCCGGCTCAAGGTTTAGGCCCGCGAGGTCCTCAAATTCCTCGCGACTCATCGCCTGGCGTATCTCGTCGAGCGACCGGCTACCTGCCAGGCGCCCCTCCTCGGGACTGAACGGTCTTAGGCGTTCGGGGGCAACCGGAAACGGCCGCCCGCCGTGCCGCGCCCGCGCGTTGTCGTTCTTTCGGCCGAACGCCGTCGCAGGACCGCGCCGCTCGCGCTCGTTCACCCGACGGCCCTTTTCAGCGCGGAAGGGCCAGAAGACGAACATCAATTACCCTTCGCTCCGGTCCTTGAGGTTGCCGCGGCTCTGCGCGGCTACTGCTCTCCGGATCAGCCTGGCTCCGTGTCTTGATGAGGGAGCGTTGGCAATGTTGGGGGATTTTGAGCCGCCTGGTCAGTGGGTCTCCTTCTTTGGCGACGCAGGGGTGATAACTCGCCGCCTTGCC